GCTCCCGCGCAACTCCAAAACCAACCCTTCCCCCAATAACACTACAGTTGAACAATGTCCCTTGTCTTTGAACGGTGCACTATGACATCATGTCAAGAGGTCTGATAAGTGGCCAAAACTGAGGCCTCACTCCTGAACGTGGGCCAAAATAGACAATTGACAGACCGTGGCTTCACTGCTTTATCTAGGTCAGTCTATTCTGAAGAGTAAGGACGAGGTTGTTTCAGCTGCTGGAGCCTATTTGCCTCTAAACAGGACATATAAGGAGTAACGTTAGGATCCTTTAATCCATTATTGGGCTACTGCAGACCCTGACCACACATGTGTGTCTAAGGGAATGTGATCTGTTCATTTTTCAACATTATGTTGAGTTTGGCCTTCCCCTGTGTGTGTGTGAATATAAAGTCGTTGACCAGCTACTCATTGGAATGAATTCGTAGAAAATACTACTATGAATTCCTAACTGAAGTGATCACCACACAGAGCAAAAGATTGAGAAGATTATGATCATATGGATACCATAATAACGATATATGGAAGCTGAATAGGTTGGAATTAGGGAAATATGAAAGCCAATGTGGAGAAAGAAGGGTGCCTAAACTTTATGCAAAACAAAACTTTTTTAATCAGAAGCTCAGATCAACCAGGTATGAAAAAAACTAATCCCATAACTCACACCAAACATCGACGCGCACAATTTCTCCAAAATAAACGGTGTGTAACGTGCCTAGCTTTCTCATTTTAAAATTACTAACCTTCAGATTCTGACAATCCATTACTACCATCAGGTCATAGCAGAACACAACCCGAAAATAAATGTTATATTCCAAAAGGTATTCCACCGTTTTTCAAACTCAACTCGTCGGGAATGAGGGAGAGGGACAGAGCGCTATGATTGCAGCAGTGATACGCAATGGACTTGACAAAAAAATGGGTGATAGAGTGGCGCATCGTTTATTGTGTGTTTATAACTTATTGTACGAAATGTGGTGGGTAGTCTGGGTGGATTACATATATAGAGAGAAGCATAAATCAGAGAAAACACCGAAAATAATAAAATGCGTAGAGAAGAACATCAGGAGAAACTCACCCAACTGAATGCCAGACGAGGCTCTTTTGCAACATGAAACAGATAAGCGTGTGGTCTTCTAATGTGTTGCAATTACTTTTCCTTCATGACAAGTACGACGACGACTAGTCAACGACGTAGCAAACTTTTCTGTGCCATGTGTAAATAGGCCTACAGCCAGAGGTCTTTACAGTTAGCCGTGGAATGCGGAAAAGTTCACCTTATTTCTGCCCCTCCTTCAGTTTCTGTGTAACTTTGTTGGGAGTGCTCGCTTGCCTGGGTGCAGCCCGGCTATGCCTCGTTTGGCACTAGTTACCACAGCCACAAAGTCAAAATTGGCTATCATAAAATTGTATGAAACTCAAATGTGCTTTTTGGTCTCAACTTAAGGTTAGGTATAAGGTTAGCAGTGTGGTTAAGGTTAAACATTTTTAAGAAGACACATTTTTTAAATAGGCGGGGTTTAGCCATAATGACTTTGTGGCTGTGGTCGCCAATGATTATGCCACTACGGAGTTCTTCAGTGTAGTCATGAATTGCTCAAGGAAAATGCGCGCGCACACACAAAAATATATGGATTTGAAACTCACAATTAATATGTTATGATGTCTACTGGTATGTGGTACTGAAACAATACAGACAACACATTCCCCTGGGATCAGCGCAGAGAACTCATGTAGGCTCAACTCAGCAGAGCTCACGATGCTCTTCGCTCAAGTGCACACACTCACCCAATTCCCATCACTTCGAAGCAGTACCACTACACACAACCAGATTTACAGTAGGGTATCACATAAAAACGAACTAGGATAGAGAATGTGATTGTACAGTAGCCTATACATTACGAATATAAAATGGACCCCTCGCTCTCACTACATGGAGAGAATGGCATGTCGTACAAAACACTACAACCGGTATTTACAACTGTGTGCATTTCATTTTGCAATAGACCCATCTGGATGAAAATAAATACCAGCAATTTATTGGAATCCTGTTCTAGGAATGTAGCCTATTATAATCATTCAGGCAACGTTGTTTCGTTTGAATTGCGACATACCACAGCAATGCAACATGATCTGATACCCCGCTATGTTCTGCTTTTGTGTATGAGTAAATAGCGGTACCTAAAGGCATAAGGCCATGGAAAGAGGCTCACCTGTTTTCGAAACTGTCCTCGTGGCTGCACACCGAGAAGTCACGAGTCGTGCCAGTCCAGCCAAGATCCGAAATCTATGCATGTACCGGCTGTTTCAAACAAAAGCGTTGAACAATTGTGCGGTTTATATAGACTACAGTGTATTCCGAAAGTATTCAGACCCCTTGACTTTCCCCCCATCAATCTGCACACAATACTGTGGGGATTTATTATTCTCATAAATGGATGGGATGACTAACTTAGAAAGAATGCATTAATGATTAAAGCATAAAAGGTCTGTACTGTACTGATATGAATTGTTTCACCTAACAAGCTGTGATTAATGTGAGGAGCTGTTTTAGGGAGTAAGGGGAGATAAGAACTTGTCTCACAATACCCGAACACTCTCTCTTTGTTGTCTGTGAACCGTCCTTGAACATAGGTACAGAAGAATGGTGTTTTTTGGGTGCTAACTCCACAGGTTATTATGATAGCAACTTATGCCTGGGAACGGTGGAGCGCCAAGGGGTTGGGACCAGCCCCTGCGCCAACGGATTGGCTGAGTAAGTCTAAACCACGCTCAGTCTCTACTCTGATTGGCCAGCAGAGAGTGGGAACTATCTCTGTCAGAGTATTTGAAGAAGAACCTGTAACAATGGATTAGTTCTCTGTCTGCCCTGCGTGGTATTTCAGTGAGCCCGTATACGAACCAACATACTTATCATACATACATTTTGCATATAATAAATTTAGCTTGGATTGAATATCTCTTGATTATGTTTTCTCTTATTCCAATACCAGATTTGAATTACGCCATTTCTAACAATACCCAATAATGATGAAGCAAAAATGGAAATATTACATTTACATAAGTATTCAGACCCTTTACTCAGTACTTTGTTGAAGCACTTTTGGCAGCAGATTACAACCTTGAGTTTTCTTGGGTATGACACTACAAACTTGGCACACCTGTATTTGGGGAGTTTTTCCCCATTCTTCTCTGCAGATCCTCTGGATGGGGAGCATCGCTATGCACTCTGGAGCAGGTTTTCATCAAGGATCTCTCTGTACTTACCTCGGTTCATCTTGCCCTAGATCCTGACTAGTCTCCCAGTCCCTGCAGCTGAAAAACATCCCCACAGCATGATGCTGCCACCACCATGCTTCACCGTAGGGATGGTGCCGGGTTTCCTCCAGACGCTTGGCATTCAGGCTAAAGAATTCAATCTTGGTTTCATCAGTCCAGAGAATCTTGTTTCTCATGGTCTGAGAGTCCTTTAGGTGCCTTTTGGCAAACTCCAAACGGGCTGTCATGTGCCTTTTACTGAGGAGTGGCTTCCATCTAGCCACTCTACCATAAAGGCCTGATTGGTGGAGTTCTGCAGAGATGTTTGTCCTTCTGGAAGGTTCTCCCATCTCCACAGAGGAACTCTAGAGCTCTGTCAGAGTGACCATCAGGTCCTTGTCTACCTCCCTGACCAAGGCCCTTCTCCCCTGAGTCTTGGTGATTCCAAACTTCTTCCATTTAAGAACGATGGAGGCCACTGTGTTCTTGGGGACCTTCAATGGTGCAGGAATTTTCTGGTACCCTTCCCCAGATCTGTGCCTCGACACAATCCTGTCTCGGAGCTCTACGGACAATTCCTTCAACCTTATTGCTTGGTATTTGCGCTGACATGCACTGTCAACTGTGGGACCTTATATAGACAGGTGTGTCCCTTTCCAAATCATGTCAAATCAATTGAATTTACCACAGGTAGACTCCAATCAAGTTGCAGAAACATCTCAAGGATAATCAATGGAAACAGGATGCACCTGAGCTCAATTTCGAGTATAATAGCAAAGGGTTTGAATAATTGTGTAAATAACGTATTTTTGTTTTTTATTTTTAATAAATTTGGTTAACATTTTAAAAACCTGTTTTTGCTTTCTCATTATGTGGTATTGTGTGTAGATTGATGAGGGAAACAAGTAATTTAATTCATTTTAGAATACGTCTGTAAAGTAGTAAGTAGACCTACATTGATGGAACAGAACAGTTGTGGACATAATATGAGCTCTTAGAAAAACAAATAGCTCTAAATGCTTCATAATTAGCAAGTGCCAAGTCACATGACAAGTTGAGACAATCACAGCTATAGTGTGACTCACTTAGATATTTTTAAGTGAAAGGAAGTGGAGAGAAAGAAGTGAAAGAATGCAGTACCTTTACTTAGACAGATAGAGGGGTATATATATATGTGTGTGTGTGTGTGTGTGTGTGTGTGTGTGTGGACTCACCCTGGGGGGTTCTCAGTTCTCTAACATGATAAATGCAGAATGTGCACCAAAAAGAGAGTGCTAGGTTACATGTCGTAGGCAACAGGGTAAAGACTCAGCTCAGTTATTGTTTATTTTCATAAGAATGAGACGGGTAAAGTGACGGCCGTGAGCAGTTGTTATTTTATTTAAAAAATAATACATGAGAATTGTAGATTCATGCACATATCACATTTTATCTATGTATGCACAACTTAGGACATAATTATGTAATTAAGAAATTGGTAAAGATTCAATTTTCCCTCCCCCACCCACAAAAACTCATAGTTTATCTCTCTATTTTGTTTCCTCCCTCTCTCTCCCCCTTCCTCTTTATCACTCTCTCTGTCTCTCTCGCTCTCTCTCCCTTTCTTTCGCTCTCATAGACACACACACACACACACACACAGACAAACAGCAGTTGATGTAGAGGAGGAAAGATATGTTCAGACATCCGTTTTCACAGCCGTCTTGTGACGACCTATTTTAAACATCAACATGGACTTCGACTACCAGCGCTTAAAAGGTCAGGCTTATACTTTTAACAACTTTATATTCAGTCAGAACTATGTAGGAACAATGTTTTCATTATTAACCCATTTAATATCATTGCTAATGTTTACCATTGATTACATTTTTGTTGCCACGAGTCTTAGTTAACAAACAATGTATAGTTTCAAAATATACTTCAAAATATCATGTCGATCTCACTCAATTTGAGAGTGGTTACATTTCCCCAGCCCATTCACTCAGCTTTATACCAAGTTAGATAGACAGGTTTGTCTGCGCAGCCGAATATTGTGTTAGCCCACTAAGCTAAAACCTACAGGCATTAGCTGTGGGAGCTAAGGCAAGTCTCATAAAAAGGTTACTCATCACACAAGAGTGGTTATCTTACTACCTTGATTACTCATTCCACATTTTGTTGTGTTACAACCTGAATTCAAAATGTATTAAATATACATTTTTGAAAACAAGTTTTTAGAAATGTTTGCACATTTATTGTAAATGAAATACAGAAATATATAATTTACATAAGTATTCACACCCCTGAGTCAATACATGTTAGAACCACCTTTGGCAGCGATTACAGCTGTGAGTTTTTCTGGGTAAGTCTCTAAGAGCTTTGCTCACCTGGATTGTACAATATTTGCACATTATTCTTTTTAAATTCTTCAAGCTCTGTCAAGTTGGTTGTTGATCATTGCTAGACAGCCATTTTAAAATCTTGCAATAGGTTTTCAAGCCGATTTAAGTCAAAACTGTAACTAGGCCACTCAGGAACATTCAATGTCGTCTTGGTAAACAACTCCAGTGTATATTTGGCCTTGTGTTTTAGGTTATTGTCCTACTGAAAGGTGAATTTGTCTCCCAGTGTCTGTTGCAAAGCAGATTGAACCAGGTTTTCCTCTAGGATTTTGCCTGTGCTTAGCTCTATTTCGTTTATTTTTATCCTAAAAAAACCTCCCTAGTCCTTGATGATGACAAGCATACCCATAACATGATGCATCCACCACCATGCTTGAAAATATGAAGAGTGGTACTCAGTGATGTGTTTTGTTGGATTTGCCCCAAATATAAAGCTCTGAATTCAGGAAATAAAGTTCCTTTCTTTGCCACATTTCTTTGGCAATTTTACTTTACTGTCTTATTGCAAACATGATGCATGTTTTTGGAATGTATTCTGTATTTTCACTCTGTCATTTAGGTTAGTATTGTGAAGTAACTACAATATTGTTGATGCATCCTCCTATCACAGCCATTAAACTATGTAACTGTTTTAAAGTCACCATTGACCTCATGCTGAAATCCCTGAGCAGTTTCCTTCCTCTCCAGCAACTGAGTTAGGAAGGACACCTGTATCTTTGTAGTGACTGGGTGTATGTATACACCATCCAAAGTGTCATTAATAACTTCACCATGCTCAAAGGGATATTCAATGTCAGGGTGAGTCCAACTTATTATGTGACTTAAGCACATTTTTACTCCTGAACTTATTTAGGCTTGCTATAACAAATGGGTTGAATAATTATTGACTCAAGACATTTCAGCTTTTCATTTTTAATTCATTTGTAAAAATGTCTCAAAACATTATTCCGCTTTGACATTTTGGGGTGTTGTGTGTAGGCCAGCGACACAAAATCTAAATGTAATCAATTTTAAAGTCAGGCTTTAACACAACACAATTTGGAAAAAGTCAAGAGGTGTGAATACTTTTTGAAGGCACTGTATACAGTGGGGGAAAAAAGTATTTAGTCAGCCACCAATTGTGCAAGTTCTCCCACTTAAAAAGATGAGAGAGGCCTGTAATTTTCATCATAGGTACACGTCAACTATGACAGACAAATTGAGGAAAAAAATCTAGAAAATCACATTGTAGGATTTTTAATGAATTTATTTGCAAATTATGGTGGAAAATGATCACAAGAACGGTGAGCAAAAATCCCAGAACCACACGGGGGGACCTAGTGAATGACCTGCAGAGAGCTGGGACCAAAGTAACAAAGCCTACCATCAGTAACACACTACGCCGCCAGGGACTCAAATCCTGCAGTGCCAGACGTGTCCCCCTGCTTAAGCCAGTACATGTCCAGGCCCGTCTGAAGTTTGCTAGAGTGCATTTGGATGATCCAGAAGAGGATTGGGAGAATGTCATATGGTCAGATGAAACCAAAATATAACTTTTTGGTAAAAACTCAACTCGTCGTGTTCGGAGGACAAAGAATGCTGAGTTGCATCCAAAGAACACCATACCTACTGTGAAGCATGGGGGTGGAAGCATCATGCTTTGGGGCTGTTTTTCTGCAAAGGGACCAGGACGACTGATCCGTGTAAAGGAAAGAATGAATGGGGCCATGTATCGTGAGAATTTGAGTGAAAACCTCCTTCCATCAGCAAGGGCATTGAAGATGAAACGTGGCTGGGTCTTTCAGCATGACAATGATCCCAAACACACCGCCTGGGCAACGAAGGACTGGCTTCGTAAGAAGCATTTCAAGGTCCTGGAGTGGCCTAGCCAGTCTCCAGATCTCAACCCCATAGAAAATCTTTGGAGGGAGTTGAAAGTCAGTGTTTTTTTTTTTTCTCATTTTGTCTGTCATAGTTGACGTGAACCTATGATGAAAATTACAGGCCTCTCTCATCTTTTTAAGTGGGAGAACTTGCACAATTGGTGGCTGACTAAATACTTTTTTTTCCCCACTGTACGTATGCTGTTTTTTTGGCCAGGGTTCACTTTTTTAAAAGAGATGTGAAACTCAGTGTGACCTCTGGTTAAATAAAGGTTAAATTAAAATATATTGTGTTAGTTCAATGTCAATCAATCAATCACATTTATTTATAAAGCAGATGACAAAGTGCTATACAGTAACCCTGCCTAAAACCCCAAACAGCAAGCAATGCAGATGTAGAAGCATCAAAAATATGCTTTCTGTGGCCGTCACTTGTGATGGTTAATGTTTAGCTTTATAAGATGTATTTTATGTTGGTTTGCAGATGTTGATAATATCAATGGTTCTTACCTGTTTCAATAAAAGTTCAATTTAAAAAAATATATAAATACATACATAATGTGTTAGTTCAATGTCAAAAAGATGCTTTCTGTGGCCGTCACTTTTGTGATGGTTAATCGTTAGCTTTATAGATTATTTTGTGTTGGTTTGCAGATGTTGAAAGCCTCAGGCGAGAGGAGCGAATCAGCTGCCTGCCTATCCAACCCCACAAGCCTGTACCACACCAGCATTCTGCTCAAGACCTGCCCACCCGCCAGACTCCGCCAATCAAACCCAGGCGGAGCTTAAAGGTCCCGAAAACCCCTCGGGAGGAGGTGGCGCTGCCAGCCAAACAAACCCATGGCCAGGAGAATGAGGTTACAGAATTAAAATTTTACATTAGATTTAACATCAGATCCCAGATCAGTGGAAATTCTGCAAATTTGCATGCTTTTCAATAGTGTTTTCTATGCTTGGTAGACATGACCAGGGGCGGTGTGTTCAATAGGGCGATATGGGTGACGCACTGCCAAACGGGAAAAGGAAGGGATTTTTTTTCTAATCAATTATATCACGGCAACAGTAGTTATCAGTGTTGTAATCTAGACGTCTGATCTGCCACAGTGCCACTAAATGTCCAATCAGGCTAAAGTCGTGCTTCAAATGGCCCCCCCCCTTTTGGGGCGATTTCAGTCAGGTTGAAAATCGCCCAGAAGTCTGTCATAGACTCCCATGTAAAATCTATTTTTTTCAAATATCAGAGCTTTCAATACAATCTCTATGGGTTTCTGAGGGCTTGCACTTACGCGCTTTCGTCATACGTAACGTAACCATGAACGTAACTAAGAAAAGAGCGGGTAGCAGCGTCAATCAATTCACTATTACTGTCAAAATGGCTAGGCTTCAGTGCAACTCGATTTTGTCTTTGAAAGAAGTTCCTTTTTGTCGGCGAACAAATGAAGATAAATTGGCAACGAAACAATTAGGACCTCCCAGACCAAATTTAATAATTCAACAGGTTTCTACTAAAGGGGGGAAGTCCTACACCCGAGGATTTTCCAAAAATTGGTACGAACGAAAAACCTGGCTAGCAGGCTGCGATGTAGCTAATGCAGTCTTCTGCTACCCCCTGCTTACTCTTTCACCCTGAAGGCGGCACGGCAGACAGCACCGCTTGGACAGCGACTGGTGTGTAACGGACATGCACCATCTTTCAGGAAAGATTAAGAAACATGAGCTGTCAAAGACCCACATGGATAGCTGTTTGAGATTGTCTGCTTTGGGGAGAGTGAACATTCCCACTCAACTGGATGAGGGATACAGGCTAGCTGTCCGCCGCCACAACGATGAGGTTAGTGTTGATAATCACAAGTTTACTGGAGAACTGAAACTGACAAGGCTGACAAGATAGGACCCTTTTGTCCATTGTTATTGGATAGGAACAGAACTTATAACCAGCTCCTGACCTAAATAGATCTTAGCACAACATTTTACTCAACATATCATATTCCATATTCACTATAACAAATATATTTACTACGACATTAGCAAGAACCGCCACATCCTCAGCCGGCTAATCCAGTGTGTGAAGTTTTGCGGAGTGTTTGAGTTAGCTTTGCGAGGCAAAGATGAAACTGAGGGCTCCACCAACCCTGGTAAGCCAACACTTTTGAGATCAGTCAATAAATGCTTCTGGTATTGACTTATATGCTGCCCCTGTCTTCATGTTGTTGCTGGACATATCTTTTTTAAAATGTGTGTAGGTCACCTAAATCATCAGAAACATTGCCCCCCCTGAGAATTTTTTCAGGAGCCGCCACTGGACATGACACAGACAAGCATTTGTGCTTTAATTGACACGTGTATTTCTACTGTATGTGAATGCTTGTGTTCTAAAATGCATATGTCTGTGTCTTTGTAGAGGACTTCCCGTAAGCCTTCAGTCAGATTGTCATGTCTGAAACCAGCAGCCACACTTTACACCCTAAACCACACAGTACAGTTAGAGACACACAACTTCCTGTGGCTCGGTTAATAAAAACGGCCATTTCATGAAAGAATAAAACAAAGAAAACTGAAAGTTACCTCTCTACGTTCAGTGTTGCATGGGTCAGTCCAGTTCAGATTCTGTCTCTAGAGCCTTCTCCAAGTTTGATGTGCAAAAATGGGAAGGATTGGTGAAATACTATGATGGGTTTATTTGACCTACAGTGCCTTCGGAAAGTATTCAGACCCCTTGACTTCTCCACATTTTGTTGCGTTACAGCCTTATTCTAAAATTGATTATATAAATACAAATCCTCAGCAATCTACACACAATACCCCATAATGACAAAGGGAAAACAGGTTTTTAGAAATGTTTGCAAATTTATAAAAAATTAAAAACAGAAATACCTTATTTACAAAGGTACTCAGACCCTTTGCTATGAGACTCGAAATTGAGCTCAGGTGCATCCTGTTTCCATTGATCATCCTTGAGATGTTTCTGCAACTTGATTGGAGTCCACCTGTGGTAACTTCAATTGATTGGACATGATTTGGAAAGGCACACACCTGTCTATATAAGGTCCCACAGTTGACAGTGCATGTCAGAGCAAAAACCAAGCCATGAGGTCGAAGGAATTGTCCGTAGAGCGCCGAGATAGGATTGTGTCGAGGCACAGATCTGGGGAAGGGTACCAAGAACACAGTGGCCTCCATCATTCTTAAATGGAAGAAGTTTGGAACCACCAAGACTTTTCCTAGAGCTGGCCGCCAGACCAAACTGAACAATCAGGGGAGAAGGGCCTTGGTCAGGGAGGTGACCAAGAACCCGATTGTCATTCTGACAGAGCTCTAGAGTTCCTCTGTGGAGATTGGAGAACCTCCCAGAAGGACAACCATCTCTGCAGCACTCCACCGATCAGGCCTTTATGGTAGAGTGGCCAAACGGAAGCCACTCCTCAGTAAAAGGCACATGACAGCCCACTTGGAGTTTGCCAAAAGGCACCTAAAGACTCTCAGACCATGAGAAACAAGATTCTCTGGTTTGATGAAACCAAAATTGAACTCTTTGGCCTGAATTCCAAGCGTCACGTCTGGAGGAAACCTGGCACCATCCCTACGGTGAAGCATGGTGGTGGCAGAATCATGCTGTTGGGATGATTTTCAGATGCAGGGACTGGGAGACTAGTCAGGATCGAGGCAAAGATGAACAGAGCAAAGTACAGAGAGATCCTTGATGACAACCTGCTCCAGAGCTCTCAGGACCTCAGACCTGGGCGAAGGTTCACCTTCCAACAGGACAATGAACCTAAGCACACAGCCAAGACAACGCAAGAGTGGCTTCGGGACAAATATCTGAATGTCCTTGAGTGGCCCAGCCAGAGCCCGGACTTAAACCTGACCAAACATTTCTGGAGAGACCTGAAAATAGCTGTGCAGCGATGCTCCCCGTCCTACCTAACAGAGCTTGAGAGGATCTGCAGAGAAGAATGGGAGTAACTCCCTAAATATAGGTGTGCCAAGCTTGTAGCGTCATACCCAAGAAGACTCGAGGCTGTAATCGCTGCCAAAGGTGCTTCAACAAAGTACTGAGTAAAGGGTCTGAATGCTTATGTAAACGTGATATTTCCTTTTATTTTTTATTTATTTTTTATAAAATAGCAAAACAATTCTAAACTTGTTTTTGCTTGGTCATTATGGGGTATTGTGTGTAGATTGATGAGGGGAAAAAAACAATTTAATCAATTCTAGAATAAGGCTGTAACCTAACAAAATGTGGAAAAAGTCAAGGGGTCTGAATACTTTCCGAAGGCACTGTATGAAGTTTTATACCTTACACACTTTGACTTACACACTGTACCAACTGTATCAATCAATCAATCAAATGTATTTATAAAGCCCTTATTACATCAGCAGATGTCACAAAGTGCTATACAGAAACCCAGCCTAAAACCCCAAACAGCAAGCAATGCATATGTAGAAGCACGGTGGCTAGGAAAAACTCCCTAGAAAGGCAGAAACCTAGGAAGAAACCTAGAGAGGAACCAGTCTCTGAGGGATGGCCAGTCCCCTTCTGGCTGTGCCGGGTGGAGATTATAACAGTACATGGCCATTAAGGCCAGATTTTTCTCCTAGATGTTCAAACGTTCATAGATGACCAGCAGGGTCAAATAATAATTACAGTGGTTGTAGAGGTTGCAACAGGTCAGTACATCAGGAGTAAATGTCACTTGGCTTTTCATAGCTGGGCATTTAGAGGTTGAAATAGCAGGTGCGGTAGAGAGAGAGTTGAAAACAGCAGGTCTGGGACAAGGTAGCATGTCTGGTGAACAGGTCAGGGTTCCATAGCCGTAGGCAGAAGAGTTGAAACTGGAGCAGCAGCACGACCAGGTGGACAGGGGACAGCAAGGAGTCATCAGGCCAGGTAGTCCTGAGGCATGGTCCTAGGACTCAGGTCCTCCGAGAGGGGAGGGAGAGAGGGAGAGAGAATTAGAGGGAGCATACTTAAATTCACACAGGACACCGAATAAGACAGGAGAATAACACCAGATATAACAGACTATAGGCCTGGTTGTCCACTGGCAGCACAGTAATGTTGTATCAAATGCCGGTGACTGTAGTGCCTTGCTGTTTGTGACAGAGAGCACCAACTGGATGGGCTGCGGGTAAGGCCCAATGTCCAGGATGGGAGGTATGTAGGCCACTTCCATGTAGTTGACTGCATGCTGGAATGAAAAAGGCATGGATTAGCATATCAAGTGTTTAAAATGTAATTGTCTTCTCTTGCTAAGGTAACTTCTGTGGGAACGTATTCAAGCTTACGTGTGTGAACAGCCATTGTCTCCCTCTCCCACCCCCTCTCGCTCTTTCCTTTCAGATCTACATGAAGTGGTAGTTGGTAGGTGCTGTTTCTGGACCAGGCCTTGTTTTCTTTTCAATATGGCCTTAAAATCTCCACAATAATGGAAAGATACCAGATAGCACAACAGAGAAACTATTGAATATGCCTATAAATCTCACAACCCTCACTGTCTATCTCCCTCTATCCCTCCCTCTCTCAGACAGTAGTGAAGAGGATGTCTCCTGCTCTGACTCTGGGTGGTCCCGGGCCCCTGGAGCCCTTCTCTCCGTCCCTTCGGGCCCACACCCTGCTGTGGTTCGAGAGGACACAGCTCCCCCGCCTGCGTCGGCCTGGCCGCCCCCTGCCCAGCTGGCTACATGGCTTCGCCACGCGCAGGTTGGTTAGATAGATAGATAGATGACTGACTGACTGACTGACTGACTGACTGACTGACTGACTGACTGACTGACTGACTGACTGACTGACAGCACACATAGAAACATATACTGGTATACATTATCTGCAATAGAAATAAAGAAACATCGCGCATCCAGGGAAACAAGTGCATATGCAAGAAGACACAGACACACATGCACACACGTACACTCAAACACACGTAAAATGCACACGCGCACTCACACAAGACCACAGATGACACGACACATATATAGGGATACACATACTCATCTTGACCATTCCCACTTTGAAAGCCTTAAATTGTGCCTTGTTCATAAGATTGTCCACAGTACGGTCCCCGTGTACCTACGTAACTACTTTAACTTGGTCAGGGATAACCACAACTATTCCACTAGAAGAAGTGAAACTGACATTAAGTGTGGTATGGGGAGGGAAACTTTTTTCTACTCAGCTGCCATTCTTTGGAATAGTCTTCCAAAGAACTTGAAATTCATAAGTCATGGTCGGTTTCAAGTTCTAACTGAAATAATTACTAAATAGTAGTATGTCACGAAAGTGAGGAGTAGGCCTATAATACGTGGGTGAGAAGAAAATGCCCGGGATAGCATATGGACTGACTTTTGGTGCCTAGTGTGTTGTATATTGTGTAAAAGTGATTGTCGTATATATATATATATATATATATATATATATATTAGGGATTGTTGTATATACAGTGAGGGAAAAAAGTATTTGATCCCCTGCTGATTTTGTACGTTTGCCCACTGACAAAGAAATGATCAGTCTATAATTTTAATGGTAAGTTTATTTGAACAGTGAGAGACAGAATAACAACAAAAAAATCCAGAAAAAGGCATGTAAAATATTTTATAAATTGATTTGCATTTTAATGAGGGAAATAAGTAAATAATAATAATAATAATATGCCATTTAGCACACGCTTTTATCCGCTTTTATTTTTTTTTGTGTATGGGTGGTCCCGGGGATCGAACCCACTACCTTGGCGTTACAAGCGCCGTGCTCTACCAGCTGAGCTACAGAGGACCACAACAATTTGTATTTGACCCCCTCGCAATCAGAAAGATTTCTGGCTCCCAGGTGTCTTTTATACAGGTAACAAACTGAGATTAGGAGCACACTCTTAAAGGAAGTGCTCCGAATCTCAGTTTGTTACCTGTATAAAAGACACCTGTCCACAGAAGCAATCAATCAATCAGATTCCAAACTCTCCACCATGGCCAAGACCAAAGAGCTCTCCAAGGATGTCAGGGACAAGACTGTAGACCTACACAAGGCTGGAATGGGCTACAAGACCATCGCCAAGCAGCTTGGTGAGAAGGTGACAACAGTTGGTGCGATTATTCGCAAATGGAAGAAACACAAAAGAACTGTCAATCTCCCTCGGCCTGGGGCTCCATGCAAGATCTCACCTCGTGGAGTTGCAATGGTCATGAGAACGGTGAGGAATCAGCCCAGAACTACACAGGAGGATCTTGTCAATGATCTCAAGGCAGCTGGGACCATAGTCACCAAGAAAACAATTGGTAACACACTACGCCGTGAAGGACTGAAATCCTGCAGCGCCCGCAAGGTCCCCCTGCTCAAGAAAACACATATACAGGCCCGTCTGAAGTTTGCCAATGAACATCTGAATGATTCAGAGGAGAACTGGGTGAAAGTGTTGTGGTCAGATGAGACCAAAATCGAGCTCTTTGGCATCAACTCAAATCGCAGTGTTTGGAGGAGGAGGAATGCTGCCTATGACCCCAAGAACATCATCCCCACCGTCAAACATGGAGTTGGAAACATTATGCTTTGGGGGTGTTTTTCTGCTAAGGGGATAGGATAACTTCACCGCATCAAAGGGACGATGGACGGGGCCATGTACCGTCAAATCTTGGGTGAGAACCTCCTTCCCTCAGCCAGGGCATTGAACATGGGTCGTGATTGGGTATTCCAGCATGACAATGTCCCAAAACACACAGCCAAGGCAACAAAGGTGTTGCTCAAGAAGAAGCACATTAAGGTCCTGGAGTGGCCTAGCCAGTCTCCAGACCTTAATCCCATAGAAAATCTGTGGAGGGAGCTGAAGGTTCGAGTTGCCAAACGTCAGCCTCGAAACTTTAATGACTTGGAGAAGATCTGCAAAGAGGAGTGGGACAAAATCCCTCCTGAGATGTGTGCAAACCTGGTGGCCAACTACAAGAAACATCTGACCTCTGTGATTGCCAACAAGGGTTTTGCCACCAAGTACTAAGTCATGTTTTGCAGAGGGGTCAAATAGATATTTCCCTCATTAAAATGCTAATCATTTTATAAAATTTTTGACATGTGTTTTTCTGGATTTTGTTGTTGTTATTCTGTCCCTCACTGTTCAAATAAATCTACCATTAAAATAATAGACTGATCATTTCTTTGTCAGTGGGCAAACGAACAAAATCAGCAGGGAATCAAATACTTTTTTCTCTCACTGTATAATGACAAATAGATTTGAAACTTGTTTCTCATTATGTATAATTGTAATGGCTTAGCAGATAATAACAAAAGAAGAACAATATTTACATGGCTCAAAGAGAAGGAATATAATATATATTGTTTACAGGAAACCCATTTAACAATTCTAGATGAAGTTGCGTGGAAAAGGGAATGGGGGTGGGGGGGTGCAAATATACTTCTCCCATGGGCTAAGAAACTCAAAAGGGGTGATGATATTAATTAACAGTAATTTCGATCCGAATGTGCAAATTGTCCAAACAGATACGCAAGGTAGATGGATTATTTTAAATATGTTATTGGACCATAAAAAAATATCTCATTAACTTTTACAGACCAAATAATGATGAACCACAATTCTTTGAAAATATATATAATAAATTATCGACCTTGCAAGCAATTCAAGACTCTTATTATGGTGGGAGATTATAATACCGTTTTAAATAGCTCAATGGACCGTAAAGGAAATCACACTACAAACAATCACCCTCATGCTCTTAAGGAAATCATGAATGTCATGGATACATTAGAACTAGTAGATATATGGAGGCTTAAATATCCTGATCTAGTGAGATATACATGGCGGAGACTCAATCAAGCTAGTCGTCTTGACTACTTTCTTATGTCATTCTCGTTGGCACCAAAAGTTTAAAAAGTGTTGATAGGGGACAGAATGCGGTCGGACCATCATATTTTTATTTTTTATTTTTTTTATTTAACCTTTATTTAACCAGGTAAACCAGTTGAGAACAAGTTCTCATTTACAACTGCGACCTGGCCAAGATAAAGCAAAGCAGTGCGATAAAAACAACAACACAGAGTTACATATGGGGTAAAACAAAACAAAGTCAAAAATACAACAGAAATACAATTAATATACAGTGTGCAAATTTAGCAAGTTATTGAGGTAAGGCAATAAAATAGGCTATAGTGCAAAATAATTACAATTTAGTATTAACACTGGAATGATGTGCAAGAGATGATGTGCAAATAGAGATACTGGGGTACAAATGAGCAAAATAAATAACAATATAGGGATGAGGTAGTTGGGCGGGCTAATTTCAGATGGGCTGTGTACAGGTGCAGTGATCGGTAAGGTGCTCTGACAACTGATGCTTAAAGTTAGTGAGGGAGATAAGTGTCTCCAGCTTCAGAGAATTTTGCAATTTTTCCAGTTATTGGCAGCAGAGAACTGGAAAGAATTGCGGCCAAAGGAGGTGTTGGCTTTGGGGATGACCAGTGAGATATACCCGCTGGAGCGCAGACTACGGGTGGGTGTTGCTATGGTGACCAATGAGCTAAGATAAGGCGGGGATTTGCCTAGCAGTGATTTATAGATGGCCTGGAGCCAGTGGGTTTGGCGATGAATATGTAGTGAGGACCAGCCAACAAGAGCGTACAGGTCACAGTGGTGGGTATTATATGGGGCTTTGGAGACAAAACGTATGGCACTGTGATAGACAACATCCAATTTGCTGAGTAGAGTGTTGGAGGCTATTTTGTAAATGACATCGCCGAAGTCAAGGATCGGTAGGATAGTCAGTTTTACGAGGGCATGTTTGGCAGCATGAGTGAAGGAGGCTTTGTTGCGAAATAGGAAACCGATTCTAGATTTAACTTTGGATTGGAGATTCTTAATGTGAGTCTGGAAGGAGAGTTTACAGTCTAACCAGACACCTAGATATTTGTAGTTGTCCACATACTCTAGGTCAGACCCGTCTAGAGTAGTGATTCTAGTCGGGTGGGCGGGTGCAAGCAGCGTTCGGTTGAAGAGCATGCATTTAGTTTTACTAGTGTTTAAGAGCAGTTGGAGGCTACTGAAGGAGTGTTGTATGGAATTGAAGCTCGTTTGGAGGTTTGTTAACACAGTGTCCAATGAAGGGCCAGATGTATACAAAATGGTGTCGTCTGCGTAGAGGTGGATCTGAGAGTCACCAGCAGCAAGAGCGACGTCATTGATATACACAGAGAAAAGAGTTGGCCCAAGAATTGAAACCTGTGGCACCCCCATAGAGACTGCCATAGGTCCAGACAACAGGCCCTCCGATTTGACACATTGAACTCTATCTGAGAAGTAGTTGGTGAACCAGGCGAGGCAGTCATTTGAGAAACCAAGGCTATTTAGTCTGCCAATAAGAATGCGGTGGTTGACAGAGTCGAAAGCCTTGGCCAGGTCAATGAAAACGGCTGCACAGTACTGTCTATTATCGATCGCGGTTATAATATCATTTAGGACCTTGAGCGTGGCTGAAGTGCACCCATGACCAGCTCGGAAACCGGATTGCATAGCGGAGAAGGTACGGTGGGATTCGAAATGGTCGGTGATCTGTTTGTTGACTTGGCTTTCAAAAACTTTTGAAGGGCAGGATGGATATGGGTCTGTAACAGTTTGGATCTAGAGTGTCACCCCCTTTGAAGAGGGGGATGACCGCGGCAGCTTTCCAATCTCTGGGGATCTCAGACGTTACGAAAGAGAGGTTGAACAGGCTAGTAATAGAAAGGATCCAGATTGTCTAGCCCAGATGATTTGTAGGGGTCCAGATTTTGCAGCTCTTTTAGAACATCAGCTGTCTGGATTTGTGTGAAGGAGAAGCGGGGGGGGGCATGGGCAAGTTGCAGCGGAGGGTGCAGAGCTGGTGGCCGGGGTAGTGGTAGCCAGGTGGAAAGCATGGCCAGCCGTAGCAAAATGCTTGTTGAAATTCTCGATTATTGTAGATTTATCGGTGGTGATAGTGTTTCCTAGCCTCAGTGCAGTGGGCAGCTGGGAGGAAGTGCTCTTATTTTCCATGGACTTTACAGTGTCCCAAAACTTTTTGGAGTTAGTGCTACAGGATGCAAATTTCTGTTTGAAAAAGTTAGCCTTTGCTTTCCTAACTGCTTGTGTATATTGGTTCCTAACTTCCCTGAAAAGTTGCATATCACGGGGGCTATTTGATGCTAATGCAGTACGCCACAGGATGTTTTTGTGCTGGTCAAGGGCAGTCAAGTCTGAGGAGAACCAGGGGCTATATCTGTTCTTAGTTCTGTATTTTTGAATGGGGCATGTCTATTTAAGATTGAGAGGAAATTACTTTTAAAGAACAACCAGGCATCCTCTACTGACGGAATGAGATCTATATCCATCCAGGATACCTGGGCCAGGTCAATTAGGAAGGCCTGCTCGCTGAAGTGTTTTTGGGAGCGTTTTACAGTGATGAGGGGTGGTCGTTTGACCATGGACCCGTTACGGACGCAGGCAATAAGGCAGTGATCGCTGAGATCCTGGTTGAAGACAGCGGAGGTGTATTTAGAGGGTAAGTTAGTCAGGATGATATCTATGAGGGTACCCATGTTTACGGATTTAGGGTTGTACCTGGTAGGTTCGTTGATAATTTGTGTGAGATTGAGGGCATCTAGTTTAGATTGTAGGATGGCCGGGGTGTTAAGCATATCCCAATTTAGGTCACCAAGCAGTACGAACTCTGAGGATAGATGGGGGGCAATCAATTCACATATGGTGTCCAGGGCACAGCTGGGGGCTGAGGGGGGTCTGTAGCAAGCGGCAACAGTGAGAGATTTATTTCTGGAAAGGTGGATTTTTAGAAGTAGAAGCTCAAACTGTTTGGGCACAGACCTGGATAGTATGATGGAGCTCTGCAGGCTATCTCTACAGTAGATTGCAACTCCACCCCCTTTGGCAGTTCTATCTAGACAGAAAATGTTATAGTTGGGGATGGAAATTTCAGAATTTTTGGTGGCCTTCCTAAGCCAGGATTCAGACACTGCTAGAACATCAGGGTTGGCGGAGTGTGCTAACGCAGTGAATAACTCAAACATAGGAAGGAGGCTTCTGATATTTATGTGCAGAAAACCAAGACTTTTACGGTTACAGAAGTCAACAAATGATAGCTCCTGGGGAGTAGGAGTGATACTGGGGGCTGCAGGGCCTGGGTTAGCCTCTACATCACCAGAGGAACAGAGGAGGACTAGAATAAGGATACGACTAAAGGCTTTAAGAACTGGTCTTCTAGTGCGTTGGGTACATAGAATAAAGGGGGCAGTTCTCCGGGCGTTGTAGAAAAGATTCAGGGCATTATGTACAGAAAAGGATATGGAAGGATATGAGTACAGTTCAGGTAACCCTAAGCGTTGGGTAACAATGAAAGAGATAGCGTCATTGGAGGCATCGATTGAGCCGGTCTCGGCGTGTATGGGGGGAGGAACAAAGGAACTATATGAGGCAGTTTGAGAGGGACTAGGGGTTCTACATTGAAATTGTATAATAAGAACTAACCCAAACAGCAATAGGCAAGGCATAATTGACATGGGAGAGAGGCATAAAGCAGTCACATGTGTTATTAGAGAGAGCTAAGACACAACTGGAAATAGCGATAACGTTTGGGCTAAGACTAAACAGAATAAACAGGACAGAGTACCGTGTAAAGGAACAGTCCAGCAGGCATCAGCTGTGCAGCTGAGTGATCATAAGGTCCAGTGAACAGCAATATGCGAGTCCGAGAGCAGTTCAAATTGGTGCTTCAGCACAGCTAGCAGGGAGCACAGTTGTGGTTTGCGTGTGCTAGCGGGCCGGGGCTGGCAGATGGATCTTCGTGGTCGTCGCAACGGGAAGCCTGTTGAAACCACATCAGACTATTTAGTCGGCAAACCAGTCGTGTTGGATCGGCGGGGCTCAGTGTTAACACTAGGAGGTCCCGTCCGGTTGACAGAGAGGTAGATAGCCGGGAGATGGGCCTGAGGCTAGCTCAAGGCTAACTGGTGCTTGCTATAGGGCAATGGTAATGGTAATCAGCCAACAACAGGTTGCAGCTATCTAGCTGGTTGTGATGATCCGGCGCTAGGGTCCAGTGATTCCGGCAGAAAGTCCAATAAGCTCTGGGTCGATAGCACGCTGTGCAGACTGGCTGACGAATTGTCCAGGCTAGCTAGAGCTGGCTGGTGGATAGTGTAGGCCACGGACAATGGTGAAGACGCTAACGGTGACTAATAACAGGTAGCCACTATTTTCAGCTTACGGTTCTTGATGAAAGTTATAAAGAAATAATAGAATCCTTTCCACGTTGGGTGAGGCGGGTTGCAGGAAAGTATATTTAGTTAAAGAATGAAAGTAAAAAATTGAGAAATATAGAAAAAAAACAAGAAACTGGATATTTACACAGGACGAAAAATAAAAGCGACCGCACTGCTACGCCATCTTGGAACATGTATAATTGGCATATACATGACTCTTACTGAATTTCCACGTGGGCGAGGATATTGGAAATCTAATCAAAGCCTATTGGATGATAACTTGTTTTTAACTAGGACAGAGGAATTTATAACTGATTTTTTCCAAAATAACATAGGGACAGCAAATCCCCTTATTGTATGGGATACCTTTAAATGTGCCTTTAGAGGCCATGCAATTCAGTACTCATCTCGAAAACAAAAGCAATTTAGGTCAAAAGAGTCCACACTATCAAAGGAAATAGAAGGTCTAACAGAACAGATAGAAATAATTAAAACTGTAACATAGAGTCTCAGAATAAATTAGAGGAAAAACAAAAAGAAATAGAGAAACATATTCAAGAAAGATCAAGTGTAATATATTATAAAAATAAAGTAAACTGGATAGAATATGGGGGAAAATGCACCAAATTATTTTTTTATCTTCAACATAGGAATGCTACCAAAAATAATTAATTGAAAATGGTTACAAATGACGGAGTCACCCATGATTCACCAATTGATATTTTTAAGGAGGAAACAAAGTACTTTAAGCATATGTTTTCGTTTCAGTCGCCTCCATCTCCTCTAACTGAAGCAAATTGTAGAGATTTTTTTTCTATTGATAATGTAAAATTAACAGTCATACAGAAAGACTCATGTGAAGGTGAAATTACAGAGGAAGAACTTCTAGATGCAATTAAAGACTTTAAGTCCGGGAAAACTCCAGGGTTGAATGGCATACCAGTCGAGGTATACCAAACCTTTATTGATATACTCAGAGGACCGTTATTAGCATGCTTTAACCACTCCTATGTAAATGGTAGATTAACAGACACTCAAGAAGAAGGCCTGATTTCATTATTACTGAAACAGGATACAAGTGGAAAATATAAAGATCCAGTCCATTAAAAAAATTGGCGGCCCCTTACACTTCAGTGTTGTGATGCAAAAATTCTAGCAAAATGTATAGCGCATAGAATTAAAAAAGGTATTGTCGGACATTATTCATTCTAATCAGACAGGTTTTTTACATGGGCGATAATATAAGGCAAGTACTGGAAACAATAGAACACTATGAAAAATCTGGGAAGCCAGGCCTACTATTCATAGCAGACTTCGAAAAGGCATTTGATAAAGTACGACTGGGGTTTATATATACAGTGGGGAGAACAAGTATTTGATACACTGACGATTTTGCAGGTTTTCCTACTTACAAAGCATGTAGAGGTCTGTAATTTTTATCATAGGTACACTTCAACTGTGAGAGATGGAATCAAACAAAAATCCAGAAAATCACACTATGATTTTTAAGTAATTAATTTGCATTTTATTGCATGACATAAGTATTTGATACAGAAACCTTTGTTTGCAATTACAGAGATCATACGTTTCCTGTAGGTCTTGACCAGGTTTGCACACACTGCAGCAGGGATTTTGGCCCACTCCTCCATACAGACCTTCTCCAGATCCTTCAAGTTTCGGGGCTGTCGCTGGGCAATACGGACTTTCAGCTTCCTCCAAAGATTTTCTATTGGGTTCAGGTCTGGAGACTGGCTAGGCCACTCCAGGACCTTGAGATGCTTCTTATGGAGCCACTCCTTAGTTGCCCTGGCTGTGTGTTTCGGGTCATTGTCATGCTGGAAGACCCAGCCACGACCCATCTTCAATGCTCTTACTGAGGGAAGGAGGTTGTTTGCCAAGATCTCACGATACATGGCCCCATCCATCCTCCCCTCAATACGGTGCAGTCGTCCTGTCCCCTTTGCAGAAAAGCATCCCCAAAGAATGATATTTCCACCTCCATGCTTCACGGTTGGGATGGTGTTCTTGGGGTTGTACTCATCCTTCTTCTTCCTCCAAACACGGCGAGTGGAGTTTAGACCAAAAAGCTCAATTTTTGTCTCATCAGACCACATGACCTTCTCCCATTCCTCCTCTGGATCATCCAGATGGTCATTGGCAAACTTCAGACGGGCCTGGACATGCGCTGGCTTGAGCAGGGGGACCTTGCGTGCGCTGCAGGATTTTTAATCCATGACGGCGTAGTGTGTTACTAATGGTTTTCTTTGAGACTGTGGTCCCAGCTCTCTTCAGGTCATTGACCAGGTCCTGCTGAGTAGTTCTGGGCTGATCCCTCACCTTCCTCATTGATGCCCCACGAGGTGAGATCTTGCATGGAGCCCCAGACCGAGGGTGATTGACCGTCATCTTGAACTTCTTCCATTTTCTAATAATTGCGCCAACAGTTGTTGCCTTCTCACCAAGCTGCTTGCCTATTGTCCTGTAGCCCATCCCAGCCTTGTGCAGGTCTACAATTGTATCCCTGATGTCCTTACACAGCTCTCTGGTCTTGGCCATTGTGGAGAGGTTGGAGTCTGTTTGATTGAGTGTGTGGACAGGTGTCTTTTATACAGGTAACGAGTTCAAACAGGTGCAGTTAATACAGGTAATGAGTGGAGAACAGGAGGGCTTCTTAAAGAAAGACTAACAGTCTGTGAGAGATGGAATTCTTACTGGTTGGTAGGTGATCAAATACTTATGTCATGCAATAAAATGCAAATGAATTACTTAAAAATCATAGTGTGATTTTCTGGATTTTTGTTTGATTCCATCTCTCACAGTTGAAGTGTACCTATGATAAAAATTACAGACCTCTACATGCTTTGTAAGTAGGAAAACCTGCAAAATCGGCAGTGTATCAATTACTTGTTCTCCCCACTGTATATATATATATACACACACACACATATACCCTTTAAAAATATATACATTTCCCTTTATTACTTTCCAACCCCACCATCCCCTCCCTAATTGAAGTAAACTAGTGAAATCCACAACTTGAATCCCTCCACAGCCTCATAGAGGATTGTTACGCACGCCTCTCGGAAGAGGGAACGCAACACCCTGCTACAACTCAACTCTCCGTGGTGTGAAAGAGGTATGGGACTGTAGGTGTGAGAAAGGATGACAAAGGCAGAGAATACCGTTAACAGGGAATTTATTCCTTTGCACGGTAAGTTTGGGGAAAAGGGGCTGGACGGAACCAAAGCAAAGAAAGTAAATATCAAAGCCCCCTCTCCTACCTTACCTGCCTACCCACTACTTACTTAACTAGCACCACCTGGTGCACTAACCAAAATACAAGGGATGGTCCGTACAGGTCTTTCCTAGTGTGCATAGACAGTCAACTTCTACGGGTAATTTATGCCAGCGGGCCTCTTGCCTAAGCACTCCCTAGGTGCCTTCCCCTTCCCCCCTTGGGAACAAATGAAACAAAAATAGCACAAACTGGTTCAACAACAAAACCTGAGAAAAAACCTAACTCAGGACATTAAAGAAACTCTGAGCCACAAACTAACACAAAACATTACAATTGGTTCTCAGAGCAACAACAACACAGTACATACCAAACTCTTAGCATACAACCAACATGCTGTAACTCTCAGCAATTCTGGTTCCCCTTTTCTCTTCTGAGCAACAGAACTGGGGCTTATATAGCTTCAGAAGGAGTTGGTAATTGGAGACAGCTGCGTCCTGACGAGGGCGCAGGTTCAGCTCTCCAATCATCAATGTTCATTGACCAATCAGCTGCTTGTTGGGGAATTTCAGGAACCCATTTCCTGAAATACATACATGAAAATACACAACCTACAACACAGAAACTGGGGAACGTAACAAGGATCTAGATACATTTTCTAACCTCTCTGGATTACAACCAAATTATGATAAATGTACTATATTACGTATTGGATCACTAAAAAAACAATTTTTACATTACCATGTAGTTTACCAATAAAATGGTCTGATGGTGATGTGGATATACTCGGAATATATATCCCAAATTAAATAAATGATCTCACTCCAAAAAATAATAATAGAAAGTTAGCAAAAATAGATAAGATCTTGCTACCATGGAAAGGTAAATACCTGTAAATTTGTGGAAAAATCACAATGATTAACTCTTTAGTATTATCCCAGTTTACCTATTTGCTTATGGTCTTGCTTACGCCTAGCGAACAGTTCATTTAAATTATATGAGAAAAAAATATTCAATTTTATTTGGAACGGCAAGCCAGACAAAATTAAACTGGCCTATTTATATAATGAATATGAATTAGGAGGACATAAATTATTAAATATTAAAGCATTAGACCGATCACTTAAAGCTTCAGTCATACAAAAATGATACTTAAATCCAAACTGGTTCTCTAGCAAACTAGTAAGATTGTCTCACCCAATGTTCAAGAAGGGACTTTTTCCCTTTATTCAGATTACAACCCCTCACTTTCAGGTATTTGAAAAGGAAATAATCTCCCAAATATCACTATTTCTAAAACTAGCCATAGAAAGTTGGTTGCAATTTCAATTTAATCCTCCAGAAATGACAGAACAAATAATGCAACAAATATTGTGGTTAAACTCAAATATACTAATTGATTAAAAAAACTTTATTTTTTTAGAAAAAAAGGTATAATCTTCGTAAATGATATCATCGGTAGGACTGGTGGAGTTATGTCGCACATGCAGCTAACAAAAACAAATGGAAATGTCTGCTCTACCCAAAATTACAACCAAATAATTGCAGCATTACCGCAAAAATGGAAGAGGAAAGTGGAAGGAGGAAAAAGTAAGGAACTTGTCTGTCGGCCTTGCATTAAAGAACTGAATTGGTTAAAGAAAATTGTGATAAATAAAAACGTTTACCAGTTTAATTTAAGGACCAAAAGATTGACAGCCATCCCATATAGATTGCAAAATAGTTGGGAAGAGATTTTTGATGTACTGATTCCATGGCATAGTGTTTATGAACTGATACGCAAAACGACGCCGGATTCAAAACTTAGAATTTTTCAATTTAAATTATTATATAAAATTCTTGCTACCAATATAATGTTATTTGTATGGGGGATACAATCTTCCCAGCTCTGCAGATTTGGCTGTGAAGAGACAGAATCATTAGATCATTTGTTTTGGTACTGTCCATTTGTAGCTTGTTTCTGGACACAGGTCCAGGAATGGCTGAAGGATTGCAATATTTGCATGGAGCTGACCCTGCAGATAGCACTACTGGGTGATCTGAAAAGTCATAGTCAATTGATCAATAATATAATAATACTTTTAGCAAAGATGTTTATTTTCAATTCACAAACTGTAGAAACAATGAGAATAGAAAGGTTCAGAACTTTTGTAAAACATCAGAGTACAGTTGAAAAATATATGGCAAATAGAAATCCAATATGGATGGTGTTAATAGATAGATGGGAGGTGTTGAATGGAGCTGAAGGATGGGACTAATAACAACTAATAACAACAAGATAACTATTGTAAGACATGCTGTGTCCATAATAAGTATATAGGTTATATATTGTGAGCTTTTGTGAAAGAGCACAGTTAGAAAGATATGGCATATAGAAGCATACCAGATGGACATCATGAAAATAATCAGAGGAAGTTCAGGAGTAAAAACAAACAAAATATAATTAGTGACTGTGTCCATAAAATGTATATAGTATGTATAAGCATGAAGTAGAGGCCTAAGCATTGTTGTTCACTAGTTTACTTCAATTAGGGAGGGGATGGTGGGGTTGGAAAGTAATAAAGGGAAATGTATATATTTTTAAAGGATATATATATATATATATATATATATATATATATATGTGTATGTATGTGTATATATATATACAGTGGGGAGAACAAGTATTTGATACACTGCCGATTTTGCAGGTTTTCCTACTTACAAAGCATGTAGAGGTCTGTAATTTTTATCATAGGTACACTTCAACTGTGAGAGACGGAATCTAAAACAAAAATCCAGAAAATCACATTGTATGATTTTTAAGTAATTCATTTGCATTTTATTGCATGACATAAGTATTTGATCACCTACCAACCAGTAAGAATTCCAGCTCTCACAGACCTGTTAGTTTTTCTTTAAGAAGCCCTCCTGTTCTCCACTCATTACCTGTATTAACTGCACCTGTTTGAACTCGTTACCTGTATAAAAGACACCTGTCCACACACTCAATCAAACAGACTCCAACCTCTCCACAATGGCCAAGACCAGAGAGCTGTGTAAGGACATCAGGGATAAAATTGTAGACCTGCACAAGGCTGGGATGGGCTACAGGACAATAGGCAAGCAGCTTGGTGAGAAGGCAACAACTGTTGGTGCAATTATTAGAAAATGGAAGAAGTTCAAGATGACGGTCAATCACCCTCAGTCAGGGGCTCCATGCAAGATCTCACCTCGTGGGGCATCAATGATCATGAGGAAGGTGAGGGATCAGCCCAGAAATACACGGCAGGACCTGTTCAATGACCTGAAGAGAGCTGGGACCACAGTCTCAAAGAAAACCATTAGTAACACACTACGCCGTCATGGATTAAAATCCTGCAGCGCACGCAAGGTCCCCCTGCTCAAGCCAGCGCATGTCCAGGCCCGTCTGAAGTTTGCCAATGACCATCAGGATGATCCACAGGAGGAATGGGAGAAGGTCATGTGGTCTGATGAGACAAAAATATAGCTTTTTGGTCTAAACTCCACTCACCGTGTTTGGAGGAAGAAGAAGGATGAGTACAACCCCAAGAACACCATCCCAACCGTGAAGCATGGAGGTGGAAACATCATTCTTTGGGGATGCTTTTCTGCAAAGGGGACAGGACGACTGCACCTTATTGAGGGGAGGATGGATGGGGCCATGTATCGCGAGATCTTGGCCCCATCAGTAAGATCAGCCTTCCCTCAGTAAGAGCATTGAAAATGGGTCGTGGCTGGGTCTTCCAGCATGACAATGACCCGAAACACACAGCCAGGGCAACTAAGGAGTGGCTCCGTAAGAAGCATCTCAAGGTCCTGGAGTGGCCTAGCCAGTCTCCAGACCTGAACCCAATAGAAAATCTTTGGAGGGAGCTGAAAGTCCGTATTGCCCAGCGACAGCCCCGAAACCTGAAGGATCTGGAGAAGGTCTGTATGGAGGAGTGGGACAAAATCCCTGCTGCAGTGTGTGCAAACCTGGTCAAGACCTACAGGAAACATATGATCTCTGTAATTGCAAACAAAGGTTTCTGTACCAAATATTAACTTCCACTTTTCTGATGTATCAAATACTTATATCATGCAATTAAATAAAAATGAATTACTTAAAAATCATACAATGTGATTTTCTGGATTTTTGTTTTTATCATAGGTACACTTCAACTCTCACAGTTGAAGTGTACCTATGATAAAAATTACAGACCTCTACATGCTTTGTAAGTAGGAAAACCTGCAAAATCGGCAGTGTATCAAATACTTGTTCTCCCCACTGTATATATATATGTGTGTATATATGCGAGAAGAAAAAAAAACATATGGGGGATTGGAAGTGATGCAGACAATTACATTGATGGAAGTTACAATCTATCTGCAATATTATAGCTGATCTTCCCCCTAACAAAAAAAAAAATATATATACATATATATTCAAACACATTCACACGGGGGGGGGGGGGGGGGGGGGGGGGCAGCCTTATGCTGCAGAAGGCTTCATCGGACTGCAAATACAGGACTATTAAAGGCCCAGTGCACTACTTTTGTGATCAAAAATGTTATTTTTATTATTTATTTATTTGTTAATTCTGGGGGTGCTACAGCACCCTGAGCACCCCTACATCCTGTGGCTATGTATGTAAACAAAAGAGAAAATAGTTCAGAAAGACTACTCCTCAATGGAACCACTTTATAGTTATTCAGCACCAGAGGGGACTGAATAATGCGTGACACACACGAGTCAAAGCAAAGACACATAATTGTACACACATACGTGCTGTGTTTGTACAGCTTATTCAGTTTGTTAAAGCTGAATTGTTCTCACTTTTCTTTCTGTCTCTGTGTGTGTGTGTGTGTGTTGACTGTTTGGATAGGGAGGCAGAGGAGCTTCTGAAGGACAAGCAGCAGGGCTGTTTTCTGCTCAGGCTCAGCGAGTCAAAGATTGGTTTTGTACTCTCGTACAGGTAAAGTCATGACAGACCACACACACACCATACACACGCAAACCTAAAGACATTTTTGGATAGACACATCATTTTCCCCCCAGAGGAAAGGATAGATGCCGCCATTTCATCATAGAGGAAGAAGAGGGTGGCAGAGGGGCATGTTACCTCATCGCTGGGGAGGAAAGTCGCCATTGCAGCCTGCAGGAGCTGGTCAGCTACTACACACAGAATCCCGTGGGGCCCTTCAACGAGATTCTCAACACGCCCTGTGACGAGGTGCCGAGTACATATTCCACGCCCCATGCCACCTTCATGAACGAAAGGGAAATAATCATTTGCACCATCTAATTAGCCTATAAACATCTAACAAACACATTTTGTGGCAAACTATCCTTTTAGGTAAACTCAACTGCAAGTTTGTTTCTCAATCTTTCTGCCTCTCTCTCAGTCCAGTGAAACTTGTGAGGGTACAGTTAAACTGGGGTTGCAGGATAAAGGTGGAGAGACAACGAAAGTGACCGAAAAGGAAGCCACTGTACTGTCATCAACTGCACCCTCGGCTCCTGACACTGTCCAAGTTCAAGAGATATTGGCCAGCTCAGCCCCTACCAACGACGGGACACCAGAGTATGCTGTGGTGAGGAAGGTGCTCAAGAAGTCCTGTTCTCTACCAGAAAGCCAGCTTGTGAAACTGATGGAGGTGAGGAACTATCCTCACTTTAACATTTGTAAGTTATACCCACTCAAAAAGTAAATGCTATTAATGGATTTATGGACTACATTACCAATTTTTTTCCAGGTGACAAATCTGATCCCCCCCCCTCAAGATGTGACAAAACCTGGCGTTAGCTGTGCAGGAGGATGTGGGAGGGGTGATGACGCCACCGACGCACTGTACGCCCGGGTCAACAAGCCACCAAGCATGCTTTCCCAAGCAGACATAACTCCCAAAGTCAATGTGGACAACCCTCCAGGCCAGAAGGGGGCGGCAGCGTCCTCCGTCCCGCTCACGAGCAGTGGCTCCGCAGGGGACACGGGCTACTGGAAGCTGGAGCCCCTGCACACCTACGAGGAAACCCCTCATCTGGTCCAACATGAAGAAGAAGAGGCGAAGGAACACCTAGACTTCTATGCCATGGGGTGCTGGCGGGATGCCGAGAGGAGCGCAGGTGGGCGAGGTGAAAGACAAGACTAGCCACTTGTCTTTCAGGGGTTTGTATTGTTATTGGCCTGAGCAAGGCACAGCATGCCTGATTCGACCTGAAATGACCCATTACACACTTTTCCGTATAAGTTTTAGCTGCTCCTTAGTTTTATGTTCTATTTATACAGCCCCATTGAGCACTTGTTTTTCTCCATGCCAAGAATGAACATACAGTGGGGAGAACAAGTATTTGATACACTGCCGATTTTTCAGGTTTTCCTACTTACAAAGCATGTAGAGGTCTGTCATTTTTATCATAAGTACACTTCAACTGTGAGATACGGAATCTAAAACAAAAATCTAGAAAATCACATTGTATGATTTTTAAGTAATTAATTTGCATTTTATTGCATGACATAAGTATTTGATCACCTACCAACCAGTAAGAATTCCGGCTCTCACAGACCTGTTCATTTTTCTTTAAGAAGCCCTCCTGTTCTCCACTCATTACCTGTATTAACTGCACCTCTTTGAACTCGTTACCTGTATAAAAGACACCTGTCCACACACTCAATCAAACAGACTCCAACCTCTCCACAATGGCCAAGACCAGAGAGCTGTGTAAGGACATCAGGGATAAAATTGTAGACCTGCACAAGGCTGGGATGGGCTACAGGACAATAGGCAAGCAGCTTGGTGAGAAGGCAACAACTGTTGGCGCAATTATTAGAAAATGGAAGAAGTTCAAGATGACGGTCAATCACCCTCGGTCTGGGGCTCCATGCAAGATCTCACCTTGTGGGGCATCAATGATCATGAGGAAGGTGAGGGATCAGCCCAGAACTACACGGCAGGACCTGGTCAATGACCTGAAGAGAGCTGGGACCACAGTCTCAAAGAAAACCATTAGTAACAAACCACGCCGTCATGGATTAAAATCCTGCAGCGCACGCAAGGTCCCTCTGCTCAAGCCAGCGCATGTCCAGGCCCGTCTGAAGTTTGCCAATGACCATCTGGATGATCCAGAGGAGGAATGGGAGAAGGTCATGTGGTCTGATGAGACAAAAATAGAGCTTTTTGGTCTAAACTCCACTCGCCGTGTTCGGAGGAAGAAGGATGAGTACAACCCCAAGAACACCATCCCAACCGTGAAGCATGGAGGTGGAAACATCATTCTTTGGGGATGCTTTTCTGCAAAGGGGACAGGACGACTGCACCGTATTGAGGGGAGGATGGATGGGGCCATGTATCGCGAGATCTTGGCCAACAACCTCCTTCCCTCAGTAAGAGCATTGAAGATGGGTCGTGGCTGGGTCTTCCAGCATGACAACGACCTGAAACACACAGCCAGGGCAACTAAGGAGTGGCTCCATAAGAAGCATCTCAAGGTCCTGGAGTGGCCTAGCCAGTCTCCAGACCTGAACCCAATAGAAAATCTTTGGAGGGAGCTGAAAGTCCGTATTGCCCAGCGACAGCCCCGAAACCTGAAGGATCTGGAGAAGGTCTGTATGGAGGAGTGAGAAGGCCTGCTGCAGTGTGTGCAAACCTGGTCAAGACCTACAGGAAACATATGATCTCTGTAATTGCAAACAAAGGTTTCTGTACCAAATATTAAGTTCTGCTTTTCTTATGTATCAAATACTTATGTCATGCAATAAAATGCAAATGAATTACTTAAAAATCATACAATGTGATTTTCTGGATTTTTGTTTTATATATGACTGTATACATGTATTACAATATATCCGCTCTCATTTGCAGATCCCCAGCATCACCTCTACTCAGAGGTGAACCTAAGAAGAACAAGAGAGGCCCCCAGTCACGTTCCCCTTCCAGCCAGGACAGCCCCCAACCGGCCTTTACAACCCCCTCGATCAGACGGAAATGTGCAGGTACTGGAACACCAAACTTATATTGTTATGCATGTATTATCTAAACCATTTTGGTAAGAGGTTGTCAACAAAGAAAAAAAATTGGCTAATGGAATTGTAAATAACTGATGTTAATCAGGCTTTGTCAATAATTGATTAAAAATTACATATTGGTAGATTGGCAGGTAGTTTGAAAATGTTAGATAAAATATTTTATATAGAAGTACTTTGATAAGGTTTCAGTTTATAGACGCATCTTTTTTTCTCCAATACATTTTTCTAGAGATGTGGAGATCCTATCTTGTCTTCTTCCTCATCCCGACCTGGGATCTTTCTGCCACCTCGTTCAAAACAACCTTTGACCGATGACCAGGGCAACAGCATCTACGAACAGATACCAGAGAGGCCAACCAGCGCAAAGCCTAACTACTAAAGACCCTATAATACAACTCCTCTTGAAAACCCCCAAAAATGACCACCCTATATCAAACTATAAACCTTAAGCATTCTTCACCCAAGACCCTCTCTCAATTATCATTGTGAACAAAATACTGTCAACCCCAATATATTCAGAAGTAAGCCTTACTGTACACTTAAATCAACAGATCAAGGTATATTTTCTATTTAACGAGAGGCTTGAGACCATCCTGAATGTCAAGTCTCTGTGTGCCAAAAATGCATCTACAGAAGTTAAGCTTCATTTTGTGCCCCGACCTACCCTTGAAGTGTACACTTGCGCACTACCCCACAAAAAGATTGAAAGAGAAAATGGTAAAAATACAAAAATCTCACTTTATAAAACCCAGCTTGTTTATTTCCCAAACATGACGAAGTTCCAAACCGCCTGGGAATTAAGACTTTTTTCTGTAGAAATTACCGTGGAGGGTTTCAAAACAAATTAATTATAAAATAAAACAAAATAAAAAAGGCAGCCGTTCATGTCATTCTTGCATTGCGGCTGTAGTGGGACTTTGTGTGTGTACTGTATGTAATGCATGTGCGTGTATGGAATAGAATAACCAGCAATGAAACCTCTAGCCCATCATCGATCGCTATAGTCCACAAAGCTCATACCTCCGAATCACAAGGAAGCACATCTTCCCAGATCACTCATGTTTTGTTTTACCCCCAATATGGGTAATTATGTTATAAAAAAAAAAAATGTTTTACTGTCACTCCCCTCCCATCCCGATCTACTAATACCCTTTTCACACTACTGAGCCGAGCTGTACAGCACTAGTCTGTTTACACATCCAGCATGGTTGCAAAAACTATGCTGTAAAGGACAAAGTGACAAGAAAATATCTGAGCCAGCACAGTTTGTGTCAGCACAATAGTGTGAAAAGGTACAAGTTATTAAACCCTAACCCCATCCCTAGCTAGTTCCACAGTGGAGAGTATAGCGTTCAGTTCTTCTTGGCCTTGGGTGAGTCGTATTTCCTCTTGCTGGAGAACCACAGGAGCAGGGGGATGCCAATGGAGGGGAGGGTCATTACACCGAAGGCGGCCCAGTCCAGCTGGAGGGAGAGAGAAGGGGGTGAGGGAGGGAGATGTGATGTCACAGCCAATTCACAGCAAGAAAACATTTTGAAAAACGGGGAGGTACTTCTTGAACTTGTCCATTAAAAACAGGACAAAAATGATCTTGCAAAACCCTACTGAAGTGGGGGTTCCATTTTATACAAACAGAGTGGAGAATAAAACAAAATTAACCATGGTTGTTTGTAGTCTTTGTTTGGGGTGGCTAGTAACTGGTTGGTAAACAGAGTCCTTGTCAGTTATTTTCAAGTGTGCCAGCGATTGAGGATAGGACAAGCAGACGATAACACACTAGTACCGAAGACATAGCACTGGCTTTGTTCTAACTCCATACATTACAAACATAAGTACTGAGCAACTATATGTATGCCAAGAAATGGAGAGTCTGGTTCTTTCTGAGGAACATACTAAGGCCATGTATTTTTGCAAGGATATTTTAGGCTATGCCTCTGTCCAATATAGTAATCAGAAGCTTTTTGTCAAGAAGGTTCTGCATCTAAGAACAACAAAGGCTGGTTTCCTGGACTCAGATTGACACATTCCTAGAGTAAAAAGCACTTCCAATAAAGGGTCGCCATTGAGCATGCGTTTAAGACTAGGAATAAGCTTAATCTGGGTACAGGAAATCAGCCCAAAGGGCATCAAGTTAAAAACTCTGTCCAAATATGAGGTATATCACCAAGCACTCCTTTAAGAGGTATTTGAGAGAAGTCTACTAGAACACAATGCTTTGAAAGGACAAATGACTTACATAGTGGGGGGAGAAACGCCTGTCAAACTCCCTCTGAGCCAAGATCCCACCCTGTCCGGGGGCACTGGTGTAGCCAACCTGAAGGAAAAAGGCAGAAGGGAGTTTAATTTCCTAAAAAGGTAACAAACATCACTACTCTGCATCAGTCTTTAGTTGAATTAACTAGAGGGAGTTTCCAATTATTAGAAATCCATAACAGGAAGTGTGCAAGTACACAATGCATAAAAACCATTGCCAGGAAATAACACCAGCCTAATAGGCTAGTGGGTGTTAGGCTACATTCTGGCACGTTAATGTAGCAGAGAAAAAGTTCCAGGGTGGAGAGAGCAGTAGAGAACGGAGTCTGCATCAGACCGGAGATCAAATACTATATGAAATAATTTCAAATATTTCAGCTCTGCTTGATGGCGCATGCCTGTTGCAATGCAACCAATACAAAAGCACAAAAAGTTCAAACCCTGACCACATGCCAGTGCTTAAGCAAATGCTCAAAGTATCTGAAAGATTTCAAATAGTATTTGAACCCAGGTCAGGGCCTGTATTTATAAAGCATATCAGTGTAGGAGTGCTGATCTAGGATCATCATCTTATTCATTATGATGTAAAAGGGAAAAAAATGATCCTAGATCAGTACTCCTAAAACGCTTAATGAATACAGGCCCTGATCTGCATAGATGATTCTCCTCTCCCTTACCACAACTTGTCCTCCCTCCTGAGCCAGGTAGCTGACGGAGGCAGATGTGAAGTTGAAGTATCCGGCCTTCAGGGGGCGCAGTACCACAGTATGAGAGACATTGCTGGCACTGGGGAGGGTTAAGGTATAAACAATTAGAGTAGGGGTGTTAAACTCATTCCATGAAGGCCTAGTGTCTGCAGGTTTTTCCTTTCAATTAAGCCCTTGACAACCAGGTGTGGAGAGTTCCTTACTAATTAATTCATCAATCAAGTTTAAGGGAGGAGTGAAAACGCGCAGACTGCCATCCGTGGAATGTGTTTGACAACTGAACTTGAGAAACTGCAATAAGACTACAGAGTACAATGTGGGCTTCATTGAAAAAGAATGGTGCTTAGGAGCCGTTGGGCTGAAACATGTTTTAGGATTGTGGCTTTAAAAGGATACGGAGCGATCCTGTCCCATTTCACGTTCAGCATCCCGGAGACGATGCCGAAATCCTCAGGGGGGAAGGAGTCGTCAGACAGCTCGACCTCTAGGGCAGCACTGTGGAGAGTGTATTCAGAATGAGTTAAGGCGGATTGTGAAACCGCACACTTTGGGATAAGGGTACAGAATTGGGACACAAACAAAAAAAAACTGTAGATTCATTTTCAGCACACAGACACTGACATTCAATGGCTTGTCTTAACGCACTCAATGTCGTTTTTCAATACCTGGTTCCAACGTTGTAGATATTGTACTGCAGTGTGAGATCACGGCCCTCAACGGCATAACGGTTCAACAGGGACTTCGATGCCAACAGACGAGCCCCCTCCTCTCCTGTCCCCAGACCCAGCAGAGCCAGCAGAGCAAACACGTATAGGGCCCTCATCTGCAATAGAGTAGGAAGAGTGGTCAATACATACTCTCGTGGCATTACAGTGAAAAAGTAGCGTACGTATTTCAGTTGCTTCAAAGCATCATTGATCCCTGACAAAATGATACACAAGTAGCATATCTAGCTATGTGCCTAACGTTATATTTCTAAATATTGTCAACAAACTCATTCACTTTGTATGATAAGCAAAAACGAAGTGCCAACTAGCTAGCTAAGCGAGGATAAAAGGCCCAATATTTGATCCATTCGTGTCAAAACTAAAAGATTTCAACATAGTATTGGATAATTAAATACAGCTATCTAACGTTAGCTATTGACGTTATATATTATAGGCCAATCTACCACAATATTCTGATTCGAAATACAGCCAACTCACTCAAGAAAGTATACGTGTCCATTGTGTCAACTTTGAACTAGGCGCTATGAGATTTGTCCTGGATAGCTAGCTAGCTACAGCAGTTAGCTGGCTGACGTTCTTGCTAGCTAGATTACCTACAACCTGATGTTAAAATGAAAGATTAGTTAGCTAACTAGCTGCAATTTCAAAAAAGAAATTGTCAACCATTTTGTCAAAAAACGTTAGCCACAGCCTGACAAAATGACCATTACGAGACGCCAGTTAGCAGCTAGATAGCTAACGTTAGCTAACAAACAATCAGCATGCCAAGCTTACGCTTACGTGTACTTGGCTAACTGGGTTGACTACTGGCAGTCAAGAAACTAGCCAACTTGCAAATTGTATGTTTTCAAATAATACGTGAATCTTTGACATGGTATTAAAAAGCGTGAATTCCTCTGTCTGTGTTATATTATAAGAGGGTAAAACACATAAAACTTCACAAACCACAATAGACAAAACAGTCTTACCTTCCTGTCCTTTCCTGTCAAAAATCAGCAAGGAACATCTACACGCATGCTCAATATATTTCAGCCCTCGTTTGGAGTGACGTTAGTGAGAGGCGTGCACAACCCGTTCTGGTCACATATTTACAGTAACATCAACGCCCCTACCGACTCGGCGAGGACTCGTTCCACTGCTCCTTCTTTTTATGTTTTATTATTTTTTTTTTTTTATTAACAAACAAATGTCAACAAACAGAAGAGGAATAGTCACATGCTAACAAGCATACACATACACGTTTTACTTTTCCACTGCTCCTTCTTCTTCTTGACAAACTGGACAGACAATTATGACCATGGTGGTCAGAAAAATATATGATACTCTGGTCAATAAAAAGAGGGGGGAAAAAACGTCATTTTTCAACCAGTTTGCGACCTGAATAAGAATTCATTAATTCTTATCAGACAGACTTATTTTTACTGACCAGAATATAAAGTATTTTCTGGCCACAATACTACCAGTTGGTCATAATTGTGACCTCTATCTGACCAACTGGTCATAATTCTGACCACTATATTATGTGATATATTATGTAGCCTACTGGTCATAGTTAAGAGCTCATCATAACCTGGTAATGACCACCTGACTACAGCTTATTACCTATTGTAAAAAGTATTGCAGAGGATAGAGTTGGATATTGAAAACATTGTTCATTACATTTCTTGCCTATGGAGCAGTGAGGGGAACGGCACCTCCGTACCTTCAGGCTCTGATCAGTCCCTACACCCAAACGAGGGCATTGCGTTCATCCACCTCTGGCCTGCTGGCTCCCCTTCCTCTGCGGAAGCATAGTTACCGCTCAGCCCAGTCAAAACTGTTCGCTGCTCTGGCACCCCAGTTGTGGAACAAGCTCCCTCACGACGCCAGGACAGCGGAGTCACTCACCACCTTCCGGAGACATTTGAAACCCCACCTCTTTAAGGAATACCTGGGATAGGATAAAGTAATCCTTCTACCCCCCCACCCCAAAAAAAAAAAAAAAAAAAAAAAAGATTTCTTGTAAAGTGTTTAACCCACTGGCTATAGGGTGAATGCACCAATTTGTAAGTCGCTCTGGATAAGAGCGTCTGCTAAATGACGTAAATGTAAAATGTAAATTTCTATTTGTTTCCATAGTGTCACCAATTAAAGTTTAAATCAGCAACATATTATTTTGTGACCAATTCTTTATTAGCTTTTTTTCTAAATTGTTCCTATTGGGCAGGCTACATGCACTAAACACAAATTAATATAATTTAATGCATCACAGAGCCAAAAAGTAACAATACACAGAGAGAAAATAAGAAAAAAATAAAGAAAAAATAAGTGAGCCTCCACCCCATTCCCCCTACCCCACCCATTCAACATGTATCCCTCGATATTCTGTTCCAGTTAAAGGGTTGTTCATATTCACTTACACTACAGGTCAAAAGTTTGGACACACCTACTCATTCAAGGGTTTTTCTTTCTTTTTATAATTTTTTTACACAGTAGAATAATAGTGAAGACATCAAAACTATGAAACAACACATATGGAATCATGCAGTAACCAAAAAAGTGTTAATCAAATTAAAATATATTTTATATTTGAGATTCTTCAAATAGCCACAGCATAGCTGACCTACAGTAAGTTGTAGGTATAGAATAAAGGAGTTGCCTGGTAATGTGTACAGTGCCTTGCAAAAGTATTCATCCCCCTTGGCGTTTTTCCTATTTTGTTGCATTACAACCTGTAATTTAAATTGATTTGAATTTGTATTTCATGTAATGGACATACACAAAATAGTCCAAATTGGTGAAGTGAAATGAAAAAAATAACTTGTTTCAAAAAATTCAAAATAAATAAATAACGGAAAAGTGGTGCGTGCATATATGTTCACCCCCTTTGCTATGAAGCCCCTAAATAAGATCTGGTGCAACCAATTACCTTCAGAAGTCACATATTTAGTTAAATAAAGTCCACCTGTGTGCAATCTAAGTGTCACATGATCTGTCACATGATCTCAGTATATATACACCTGTTCTGAAAGGGCCCAGAGTCTGTAACACCACTAAGCAAGGGGCACCACCAAGCAAGCGGCACCATGAAGACCAAGGAGCTCTCCAAACAGATCAAGGACAAAGTTGTGGAGAAGTACAGATCAGGGTTGGGTTATACATCCATTATTAAAAAATGGAAAGAATATGGCCCACAACAAACCTGCCAAGAGAGGGCCGCCCACCAAAACTCACAGACCAGGCAAGGAGGGCATTAATCAGAGAGGCAACAAAGAGACCAATGATAACCCTGAAGGAGCTGCAAAGCTCCACAGCGGAGATTGGAGTATCTGTCCATAGGACCACTTTAAGCCGTACACACCACAGAGCTGGGCTTTATGGAGGAGTGGCCAGAAAAAATCCACTGCTTAAAGAAAACAATAAGCAAACACATTTCATGTTCGCCAAAAGGCACATGGGAGACTCCCCAAACATATGGAAGAAGGTACTCTGGTCAGATGAGACTAAAATTGAGCTTTTTGGCTATGTCTGGTGCAAACCCAACACCTCTCATCACCCCGAGAACACCACAATGTTTTTCATCTGCAGGGACTGGGAAACTGGTCAGAATTGAAGGAATGATGGATGGCGCTAAATACAGGGAAATTCTTGAGGGAAACCTGTTTCACTCTTCCAGAGATTTGAGACTGGGACGGAGGTTCACCTTCCAGCAGGACAATGACACTAAGCATACTGCTAAAGCAACACTTGAGTGGTTTAAGGGGAAACATTTAAATGTCTTGGAATGACCTAGTCAAAGCCCAGACCTCAATCCAATTGAGAATCTGTGGTATGACTTAAAGATTGCTGTACACCAGCGGAACCCATCCAACTTGAAGGAGCTGGAGCAGTTTTTCCTTGAAAAATGGGCAAAAATCCCAGTAGCTAGATGTGCCAAGCTTATAGAGACATACCCCAAGAGACTTGCAGCTGTAATTGCTGCAAAAGGTGGCTCTACAAAGTATTGACTTTGGGGGGGTGAATAGTTATGCACGTTCAAGTTTTCTGTTTTTTTGTCTTATTTCTTGTTTGTTTCACAATAAAATATATTTTGCATCATCAAAGTGGTAGGCATGTTGTGTAAATCAAATGATACAAACCCCACCAAAATCCATTTTAATTCCAGGTTGTAAGGCAACAAAATAGGAAAAATGCCAAGAGCGGTGAATCCTTTCGCAAGCCACTGTATGTGTCCTTCAAATCTTGGAATGTTCTCAAACTATTACTGTCCATGATATTGGCAAAGATACGGCAGGCAGGCAGCCTAGCGGTTAGAGCTACATTTCTTAAATGTAAATGACACATTTGGACCATTGGAGGGATGCAAAAGGGCGCCCTCAAGATCGCAAGGCATTATTGTGTATTGGAGTATGGGCATGCCATTTTTATTCCCAGTTACATTGTTTTTCAATTTCGCGCCAGATAGAGATTGAAATGTACAGCGACAGAATTTAGAACATGGGCCGTTCTTACAGTATTCTCCCTGTACACCAAGTCAGAACCGTAGGATAAATAAAGGGGGCATATAAGCAGACAATGAAAGCTCTTACAATATTCGATGATGAAATTTCACTAAAACAGGCTATATGAGCACAACCAACTCCGAACAGTAGGCTAAGTTGTGAGGTGGAAAAGGATCAAATTATTAGGGTGAGGCACATTGGCTTCTAACAGCTTACTACACAACATACTCTTAGTATTACTTTCTTAGCTACAGTATACATATCTCCCTGGCATATTACATCATTTATGCAGCAACATTTTTGGACTCACCGTTGTGCTGTGCTCACTTGAATAGGAAGGTGGCACGGCGGTCCTTCTTGTGGATACATTTTGTCATTAAACTTTGTCATTCTGGCATTATCTGGATATATGGTGCTTTCAAGACAACTGGGAACTCTGAATCAAACAAGATCGACTTGGAATTCTGAGTTGGATGACCGTTCAAAACTTATTTTCCCAGTCGGAGCTCGTTTCTTTCTGAGTTCCCAGTTGTCTTGAACTCACTGAAGTCTGAGATTTCCCAGTTTCGAGTTTCCAGATGTTTTGAACAGAGCAGAAGTCATGCTGGATTGACAGCATAGCCAATGTATTCAACTTTTCTGGCCCATGGTGTCATGCGTCAGTGTGTAGCGGTAGGACTGAGTCAGGCGCAGGAAACAGAACTTAGTCAACGACATACTTTACTTGACAAAAGTAAATAAACATATCTTCCACGCAGGGAAGAAAATACCGACTCACATGTCAATGACAACACAACAAAACAACAAACAATCACGCACAACACCATGAGGGAACCAGAGGGTAAAATAGGGAAACAAATTATCATAATTGGAACCAGGTGTGTGCAATATAGACAAAACAAGTAGAACACAGAAACATAGATCGGTGGCAGCTAGTACTCCGGTGACGACGAACGCCGAAGCCTGCCCGAGCAAGGAGGAGGAGCAGCCTCGGCTGAATTCGTGACAGTGTGTGAATGTTTATCCTTTTAAGCTTGGAAACCTAGACTTGGACCACACACCTTCTCCACCGAATAGCAGGTAGGGAAGCAAAATAGTGATTGCTTTGCAAAGCTTGCAGTTAGCCACTGATTCCTTAAAAACCACTCATTGTTGAATTTGCGATTTCCAACTTGTATAATGTTTATGTCCCCCGAGTTTATGGCTTCCGAGTGGCGCAGTTTTCTAAGGCACTGCATCTCAGTGCTTGAGGCGTCACTACAGACCCCCTGGTTCGATTCCAGGCTGTATCACAACCGGCCATGATTGGGAGCCTCTTTGCTTGACATCACAATTGGCCCAGCGTCATCCGGGTTTGGCCGGTGTAGGCCGTCATTGTAAATAAGAATTTGTTCTTAACTGACTTGCCTAGTTAAATAAAGGTAAAATTGCAGACGAGCACCGATACATTTTATCTATAATTTCTCTTCATATGACAAGGATTGAAAAGGATTTGCCAGTAGATTGTCGACATGATTCATGATGATGACTGCTTGTCTAGCTTGCTAGCTAAGATTTTCAAAGTATGATG